CTAAGAGTTTCTACCTGTCCATCCAACAGGTTGGGCATGCTACAGATCCTGCCAGTCAAAGACTGTCGGCTAGTGGGAACTAGAAGATGGGTTTTCTCTGTTGTCTTATGGAATGTTCTCCCTGAGATTTTAATGGCCCCAACCTTGTTGGCTTTTCTCAAAGGTTTAAAAACTTGGCTTTTAAATGTGTTCATTTAAAATATTCTGTCCCTCTACTGCCTCCCTCGGTGTTTCGGAAGAGAAATTTCAGATTATTTTTACTGTTTCCTCTCCTTTCTTCTCCTTTTACTCTTATGCCCATCTGATGTCTGATGCTAAGTTTCTACTTAAATCAGCAATCATTCTCAATCAAGGGCCACTTCATTTCTCTGAATTTCTCCCATGGTCTCCAACTCCAACCCTGGACAGAATCAGGATATCAATTCAATTCAATTCAATTTAATTGTAGTTAAACTTACCTTACCTAATTGAAATTACAATTAATTCTGCTCAGCTAAATTCTCCTCATGGAGAGCAATATATGTATAAAAAAAGCAAGCAACAATAAAGCTCCAAATACCCAAATATGAAGAATGAACAGCAGTAACTATAAAAGGAATACAAACCAAACTCCACTCCATAAACTATGAAAGTAAGAAATGCCTGGTTTTTATATTTGTTATTTTGTTTAAATCTTTGTGGCTCAAATGAATAGTTGAAGGTATTATAGAACATCCCAGAGACATCAATGCTAGTTATTTAAAGGGCCACAGAGAATGGTCCCTTGTTGAGGATGTCAAAGTCCATGAAGGAAGGAGCAGCCACATATTTTGAGATATGGAGGAGATATTGTATAGGAGGAGCGAGACGCTTTGAGAATCTGTTTGAGGGAAAAATGGGAATGAATGAGTGAGAGTGGATTCTTCCTTTAATATTGACCCTCAAACCCATAATGTTTTTTCAATGATGAGCTGGCACCTTAACATGAGCCTAGAAAAAAAAGTGGTTAAAAGGTACAGCTTCTGCACCTGTATTTTCAGCATTTGTTTGTACTTAAATTCACTTTTTTAAAAAACAAGTTTTATTCAGTTTTCCATATTTTAACGTCTCTTTTTAGTGAACAGCATGATTACAGGTTTCACATATACATACAAATATGACCATGGTTGCATATTCAATTTTTATATCCAATTCCTTATCTTAACAGTGCTTTTATACATTTTCTATTTTATTGTATTATTCCAAATATTTATCTCATTATTTAATTCACTTATGATAACTTCATAATCATTATACTTTAGTACTTTTAACTGTCACATTTGTATATTTCATCTTAAATTCTAATTAAAAAAGGACACTTCTTCTATAAATTGGTTTCCCCCCTGAAATCTCAATATAAGTGCGCCACCTCTAAGTTATAAATTCATTTATTTTCACCCCTTTTAAATCTCGTTAAAACATTTAACATTATTACCTAAAACATTAAACTTAACAATCCCTTTAAAACTACATAGCATATATACATCAGATTCTGCATGATTTTTCTCCTTTTAAATTTCATTAAATTCCCCCCCTCCCCCAAAAGGACATATTAATCTACTCATTCAAACAGTAAAACAATCCTGTTAATTCCATTTCAGCTCTCCTCCTATATCATTTCATTTATTTCCATATATTTAATACACATATTCCATTAATTATTCCATTCATATTTAAACCAAAAAAAGCCAACATTCCAATCTTAAAAACATTTCAATATATTTCAGCTTCTGCACCTGTATTTTCAGCATTGTTTGTACTTAAATTCACTTTTGTTGTCCACTATGGAAGTAATAAATAATAAAATGAATGTGATTTAACTCTTGAAAAAAGGCCCTTTCTCTCTGTTTCTAGATGCCTGGAATTGGACTAAGTTTCCAACCACCATAATGGTGAAAACAATAAAAATTATTCAAGGGTTACATCTGTTCCGTACAGATTTCATCCAAACAAACACAACACAAGTGGCTTGTTCGATTGTCAGAAAGAGCCCTACTTCTGAAAAGGCCTGCCCTGTGTAGGATTGTGTGGTAAGGTGATACAGCTATAAAAGAGTAATGCCCCATCCAAAATCCCATTTTCCCAGCTGGTTAGATCATAGGCAGATCCACATTGCCCCAGCACGAACCACCAACCATTGGAGGGCCAAAGCAGGTTGTCCTCAATCCCCCCCCCCCCCAGCTTGCAGGAAATGTAACTTCTGCTCATATTTTCTTGGACTGCTTCAGGATGGGTGTTTTCCACTAATGGATGGAACAAGGGTTGATGACTGGTTCATCGGCTGTGCTCTCTGTGTTGTAGGTAAATGCCCTTGAAGGGGATGAATCCACATAATCTGCAGGGTGAATAGAGCCTCTTAGTCTCATTGGTAGTTACTCATCATCAACATGAACTTTTGATTTTGTTTATTTATATATACATTTGGGGGGAAAAGATGCACTGCAGTTTATAAAGTTAAAGCGCTCCTCTATACTCATGCATTCACCACTACCAGCTTTAAATAAAAGCCCCTGCCTTGTGCTTTCCAAGGGTGCTTCTTAAACTCTGCTGCATTTGCTGCTATAACAGTAGTCCTGCAGAGCAACGTGAAATGGGTTGAAAACATCACCTCCCTTTTTAATTATTTTACTAACTCTTTTTGCTTGTTATTTTATAATAAGTTCACTAGTAGACCATTGAAATGCCGAAACAATCCTTCCTCCCCACCCCCACGCCCCTGCCTACCTCTCTCTGAGCCCCAGATAAATTCAGGGATAAGCCCTTTTGCAACACTTTTCTCTATTTGGGCTATTTGGGAACTGGGGCAAGACTGATAAATGTGAAAATATTCACTTGCAAACTGATAAAGAAGAACAACAAAGTGGAGAGTTTAGGAAAGGAAAAACAGTAATGAACAAAAATAGTTTCTACCCAGCTTCAAACCAGAGACACTTCACATGTAAGGCCAGTATAATAGTTGCTTTGCTACAGGGCGAACTGCTAATGTTGGCTACTTCTGGAATGGGTTTTTGAATGTTCTCTCCATTGTCCTGCTTGAAGGCTATGGCCTGAATGACCCTCTCACGGGAAGGGAAGCAGTTGTGTTTTACTTCCTTGAGGGGGTAAAGAAACAGGAGAATTCACCAATTAGGAGCTGTGTGAATCACCATTCAGCAACAGAACAACTGGCCATCACCATGTCCAAAGTGGAGGAAGGGATTGACATCTGGGAAGAAATTGCTTAAGCCGGCTTCATTTCCAGCTGGTTTATTTATGGGAGGCAAACAGCTGAAGGTTGCCATGTGGAAGAGCCTTAAACTCCATCTACAGTAATGCTGCCTTATCTTTCTGAACTGCAATTAGATAACAGATGTGAAACATTTTGAGCACACTGAATAGAGGCCAAGCATTATTATTTGGGAATAAGATTTGCTGAAATCCTTCCATTAAATATTTTTAAGAGGAGCGTGCTGGACAGCTTACATTTCCTTTACATGTGACTCTGGCACAATTCATATGAAAGTCATGAATTGCAATTCAGTATCTTCTCCAAGCCGATTATATTGTTGCCAGCAGTGCTTGCTGAGTTGATTTCTTCAGTATTCCACCCTTTTCAACATTTGTTACTAAAACCCAAGCTACAGTGTTGGACATTCTGTAATTGGATTCTCAGAAAATTATCTTGTGTTAAATCAGCTCATATCATTAGAAGAAGTGGGAGGACATGAATACTGCACAGACATTTTCTCTTATATCTCTACAATTAAAGAGGCTGAGGGCTTAATGTTTTCCCAAAATTAAAATTACACACACACACACACACACACACAGAGAGAGAGAGAGAGAGAGAGAGAGAGAGAGAGAGAGAGAGGAAGGGCCCCAGAATATCCTTGTGTGGAAGAGAGCATGTTTTACTGATTGATGACCATAAATAAATAAATAACATTTTATCTGTAAGATAACTAACACTCAGTGATACCCTAATTCCAACAGGACCATGTAGTAGTTACATCAAGACAGCATTAAAATGAGAAGGAGATAATAATAGGGAGTAATAGGAGCCCTGGCAAAGAAGTGCAGTGCTGAGAATCACAATTCAGTTGGGACTCTGGGTGGAAGTGATTTTCATGACAAAAAATGGGATTCCCTGTGACCTGCATTCCCAATCAACTGAACTTCCAATGGCAAGGCCTGCAAGGCAAGTCTTCCCTTGGGTCCTCGCAACGAATGAGTTCAGAGCTCTTTGTAAAAAGATTTGAACCTGAGAGATGTCTTTAATTCAGCTCCAGCTTTTTGGCTTTCTCTCATTTTGGTCCAGATGTTTATATCTGAAGACTCTGTAAAAGTCTAGGTGTTCTTTGAAATAACAATTACTTTGGCAGTAATTTTTTCCATATGCTTGCTTTCTTCGACTCCATGGGGATTCTACATCCATAACACAATGTTATTATTTTCTCAGGGAAAATAATTGTTTGAGAACTGTAACATAGGAACAAATAACATATATCTGCTTGAAACCAAAACAAAAGGACAGCTTTTATTGTTTTTGAGGACAAAGAAATTAGAAATCTGGAAAAAAATCCCTTATTCAAAACACATAAACAGCACATGTGGTAAAACATACAATTAAATACAACATTATTTCTCCAGTGTTGAATGATACTCACCCCTCCACACACCCCATTTCTCTCAGCCTACAACTGCAAGCTGCATTTTCCTGTATCCAGATTAATTTGTTACTATTTCTATTTTTAACTGTGGGCAGTTTTATTCAACAGCTTTAAATTTTAATTAAAGTACCAGATGTCACGTTGGAAATTGAAAACCAGAAGCCAGATTGTAATTTACAACACAACATCAACAACACTCTTCTAATGAAAAAGATGTTATTCCTCTAATTCCCTGGAGCCGTTCAAATAGCTTCATTTTATCTCTTCCTGCTTTGAGGAACTTTAGACATTTCAAGTTGGTTTGACTCTGCTTTCTGCTTCCGCTTCTTTTAGATTCAGAGCAGAGCACAGGATCCGAAACCGAAGTGCTGGCAGAGCGGACATCCTGCTCGTTTGGTTCCCCATCGGACCTCACCTCAAGCAACTCACTCTCTCAGTCTTTGCCTGCCTCATCCATGGAGGAGATCCAAGTGGAATTGCAATGTGCTGATCTCTGGAAGCGATTCCATGATATTGGCACCGAAATGATCATCACCAAAGCAGGCAGGTAAGGGATCCTGTCTGCTTTTTATTGATAACTGCTCCTCTTTATTATAATTTAGCCCCATATCTTTCCCAGCTAGTGGTGTATCGACGGCATTGCCCAGCAGTTACAAAGCAGATAAAGATAGAAAGGTTAACTTCTCTGCGTGCGGTAAACTTTCTGTAATTTATTTCTTAATTCTAGTTGCAACAATGTGAAGATAACTGTCAGGTTCAGGTCTCACCCACTATGATTGAGAAATAGATAGACCTATACATACATGCACATGCATGTGTGCACCCGCGCACACACTCACCCCGTTGTCATTATCTCAAATTTTTATTGATATTTTGTCAATGTTTATGCTCTTGAAATCACTTGCAAAGATTTTCCAATGAATATTTGTGAGAATGCTTCTAACCAAATGAACACCTGTAGCCTTCTGTATACAGATGTATACAGTATGTAGTTCTTGCTAAAAAACAGAAGAAGAAAGAAATGATGAATTATGCAGTGCCTACCATAAATGCAAATGAATCATACTGTAGTAGTAACAATATGCTGACCAACTCCTGACATCCATACGTATTCTCAATGATTAAGTTATTGAATGCTGTGAGTCTACAAGTTTGGATAAGCAATATACAAATGCATCAAATTTCCTTGATAAAGTTACAGGTAATCTTTGACTTACAACCATTCATTTAGTGACCATTTGAAGTTACAACAGCAGTGAAAAAAAGCAACAGGACCATTTTTCATGCTTACAATAATTGCAGCTTCCCCATGGTCATGTGATCAAAATTCGAATGCTTGGCAACTGGTTCATATTTATGATGGTTGCAATGTCCCGGTATCATATGATCACCTTTTGCGATCTTCTGATAAGCAAAGTCAATGGAGAAGCAGGATTCACTTAACAACCGTGTTACTAATTTAACAACTGCAGTGATTCACTTAACAACAGTGGCAAGAAAAGTCGTAAAACTCTTCGAACAAGGGTCTCACTTATCAACAGAAATTTTGGGCTCTTTTGTGGTCATAAATCGATGATTGAGGAATATTTGGAGTTTATGGAGTATTTGACTCCTGAATTGACCAGTGAGAATGTGGAATTAAGGATTTTGCAGTTGAGTCAACAATTTGTAGTGTTGATTCATTTTTGACTTCAATTCCATTTTTATTCCCAAACAGTCTTTAAGTGTTTAGAAATAAATTCCGTTTTTATTTGGAAAGGGAAGCCACAAAATAAACAGTTGAGGGAATTAATATTCATTATAGCTCAAAAAATGAAATCTGCTGGTAAAACTGATCAGGGCAGAGAAAGCTCTTTTATTAGCAACTTCTTGCGACAGCTGACTGTTTTAAATCCAAGACCTAAAATTAGTAATAGCAAGGTGTCAACACAGTGTACACCCACTATATTAAAAAAAGGATAACATATTGTTAGGCATAAGAAACAGAATTGAAAATCAAGATGTCAATATCACAATGATCTTATATAAATCTGTGTGTGTCTGCATCAGAGAGATGTGCAATTCTGGTCACTCCTCTCAGAAAGGATATAAGATAGAGAAAGTGCAAAAGAGGGCAAATAGATGATCAAGAATCTGGAATAGCTTCCTTATGAGGAAAGATTGCAATATTTGGGGCTTTTTAGGCCAGAAAGGAGTTGAATAAGAGGGAACATGGTTGTGGTGTATAAAATTATCCATGGTGTGAATAAAATGGACAAGGAGAAGCTATTTTCTCATTTCCAAGATACTATAACCATCCAGTGAGTTTGAATCCCGGGAGAATCAGAACACACAAAAGGACTTTTTTTTTACACAATACATAATTCAAGTTTGGAATTTGCTACCATACGATGTGTTGCTGGCTACTAGTTTTGGCTGGCTTCATAAGATGGTTAAGATGCTGGGCTTTATAAACTGGAAGGTTGGCAGTTCCAGACCCAGGTATCCAAGTGATGGGAGAGCTTCCATGTCAGCTCCTGCCCACCCAGCAGTTCGAAAACATGTAAATGCAAGTAGATAAATGGGTATCACTTTGATGGGAATATAATAGCTTTCCATGTGCCTCAGTATATAGTCATGCCAGCCACATGGCCACAGAAACATTTTCAGACAATGCTGCCTCCCTCAATAAGGAAACAAAGATGAGCACTGCCCCCTAGAGTCAGACATGACCACACAAGAAAAACCTTTCCTTTTTTTAAAAAAATAAGCTGGTTAGAGAAAAATTCATGGGGGTTAATGGCTAATAGTCTTGATGGAAGCATGACTGCCTCTGAAGGCCACCTGCTGGGAAACTAGTGAGCTTTCTTGTGCAGTTGTTGGTCACTGTGAAAATAGACTACTGGATAAGATAGGCCATGGATCTGACCAAGCAGGGCACTGCATATATTTTTATGTCCTTACATAACTTGCATCATTCTATCATAACTAGCTGCATTAATTTCCATGCCTTCCCTGCTATGAACACAACTTTTTGACACAATAAATGATATAGCCATAATATCTTCTGTAAAGTTGTCTCCACTTTAAAAGGATAGTATTTTTTGTGCATGGCAGTAAATTATCTTTTATTATACTTGAGAGGGGCAAAGCTTACTCTACATCCCAGATTTGGATTTCTAAAGGCAGAACTAGACACCCCTTAAAATAGAGTTGTCATGTATATTTTCTTGCATATGGAGAAAAAGAAAGCACCATGTAGCAGAGTGAGAGGAAAATCTGCAATGCACAGCTGGCCAAACTCCATTCACATTGATTCAGGCACTATACAATGTCTCAGAGGACAGACAGAATGACATTCATTTTATCCAGCCTATCCAGGTTCCATGGATTAGATCTTTTTGCCTCTGTTGTCATTTTGTAAGAACAACATACCATACCTAGCTGGGTCAGCATTGATGGGTAGAAACCCTCTACAAATTCCACATCCTACTGCTAATGTTTCTTTTAAGGAATTGGAATGTTATAATAGACTAATTGGGTTAGAGCAAAATCTTTAATTTCTTCAAGAAAAGTCTCTGATCTTGTGTATAAACTTGTGTATTCCAGCCAGCTTCCTTTATCATTGCAAATTAAGGTTTATTTTCTAAGCAATCAGCACCTTGGACAGAGAAAGAACCAGGAAGAAGGCTATTCTGCCTGAGCAATACCCAGTGACAGAAATCCTCCTGTCCACAATATTTTATTTTTCTTCCCCTTTTGGTTTACTTCATGAATTTGATTAGTGAGACCAATTGTAGATTGTCTCTGTGGCTTGTGAGATGATCTCTGCGGTAGTAGTAAGGATCTCAAGTTCCAAATAAATGAGATGTACTTGGAAAACTTTTGACAGTCAATACTTCTGAAAATTATTAAATCCAGTCTTCTCTTTTGAAGCCTTTTGATGCATTTAAATGGGGTACAAACAACTGTCACTAATCCTGTTTTTGTTATATGCTTAAAAACTGGGGGGAAAAAAATCCCCTAATGATATATGCTACTGAAAACAATAGAAGTAGCTAGCCACATTTTCCACATTTAAGGAACCAACCACTTTAATTTTATAAAGCATATTTAGCTGTTAAGTTTTAAAAATCAAAAGACTTTTAAAACAGCATTTATCATCAAACATATAACAAAATCCTCTGCTTAAACTGTACTACAAAGAAATGCTGAATTAGGAATTTGAGAAATAACCCCCATCCCTACCCCCACAATATCCTAAAATGGCAAACCACCTCTATAATGTTGCATGGAATGAATCAACACCGCATCATCTGGAAACATGCTCAGTTTGACAACTTATTTTCCTTTGCCTCTTTACAGTACAATTTAATAAAAATTATCTTGACAAAATTTTATCACCTCAAATAAAATTGTTCAAAACATGTTTTTTTAAAAAATAAATAAATTAAATTGATTTATTTGTGCAACTTATCCATAGAGAGTCATGATACTAGGTCAGTATTTCTCAGTCTTAGCAACTTGAAGAGGTGTGGACTTCATCTCCCAGAATTCCCCATTTTGGCTGAGGAGTTCTGCAAGTTGAAGTCCACATATCTTGGGTTGCCAAGTTTGAGAAACACTGCTCTAGGCAGTGTTACTCATGCATTCTTAATTTGTATATATGTTTTGATATTTTGAGTTACGATTTTGAGTTAACATTTAAAAAAATAGTTTATAGCCTTTAATCCTAAATTATATTTATTACTGTTTATCTCAATAGTCTTCATGCTTTTATTGTCAACAATTCATAATATTATCAGGGATATATGATGATTTTGTCTCTCTATTTAACCTACCAGCAAGGATTGTTTTGAGTATCAGTCAGGAAGATACACTTTCTCTGCTTTTTGAAAATATGGTAGGATTAAAAACATAAACAAATACATTAGATTTGGGCAGCTATTTTAATATTTGGTCAGAATGCACCATTACAAATAATAGGAAAGCTGGTATGCAAATTAATATATATCACACATATGAAATTTACTTCTCATTTATTGAAATTTATGTTTGCTGCTCATTGCAAGGAAATCATTTGCATACAGGATTGCTAACTGTTGCACTTTGTTCAATTTTCACAACTGGGGCTGGGTGAAGCCAAATAGCTTTACATGTTTGTTTTGAAGATTCTGATGTGGGGCCTGCAACAAGTTAGGGCTGTGGCCTCTTAAGTGCTCTGTGTATGGATATGGCACTTGCATTTTACTAACAGTGTATAGCAGTTGTAAATTGCTATCATGCAGCACATTAGCTGCATGAAGATCATCTTGCTATAGCTTAAAAGCCTTAACCAATTGACTTCTACAGCAAATCTCCCATGACTTCACTTAGGTCAGGATGTTGCACTACTTTCCCAGCCTTTAAGCTGATTGCAGCTGGCTCCATGTGTCCCCCTCCTCTATTCTGCAGTACTTTGTAATCTCTTGAGATTCTAGACAGTGGTGATCCCAGGCTTTGGAGCCAGCTGGCTCTTTGCACCTGGTGCTTTCAGCATCCCCAATGCTCCTTGGCATTTGATCAACT